GCCTCTGTGGTCTTCCTTCCCCAAACCCATAATCTCAGTCTAATGAGGAGAAAAACATCACACAAATACCAACTGAGGGACGCTCTACAAAATACCTGACAAGTATTCCTCGAAACTGGAAGTCATCAAAACAAGCAAAGCCTGAAACTGTCACAGCCAAGAGGAGCCTAAGGAGATGTGACAATGAAATGTAATATGCTCTCCTGGATAGGATCCTGGGATAAAAAGAGGGCATTAGGTAACACTGAAGGACATTTGAGTAAAATATGGACTCTAGTTAATAATATATCAGTTTTGGTTTATTAATTGTAGCAAATGTACCATGCAAATGTAAGATGTTAGTAATAGGAAAAAATAAAACAGTTCTAAAACTAACATTTATTTTTAAAAATCGCTACATATGCTACAAATCTTTATTTCCTCATTCTATTTTCTTGAATGATAAGGAAGGTTTCCTTAAAAGAATTGTACATTTGGAGTAAATATTAGCATTCCCAAAAGCATTTGTAGAGGTTATCTGTGTAGTGATTAAACCCACAGTAGCCCAGGTCCCTTCTCATGTACTGGGTCCCTCCCTGCCTGCCCTGGGGCAGGCTTCCTGCTGAGCATGATGGGGCTTCCTCTAATTTCCATTCCTATTAAATAGAAAAATCTGAAACAGAATGCTTAGAAATGTGGGCATTAGCCGTGTAGAGCTGAAGAACTCAAATGATCTTGGTAGATTAATCGTATTTGAAACTTGTGAGACCCAGATAATGTAGATCGTGTTCTTCCAATCACTGCTTCTCATTTCACCCCTGTGTGTTTCAGAATGAGGCAGAGAAACATGAATAATAAAGTGGTGAGGAAAATGGGTAGGTATTGATTGGTAGCTGGATTCATTAGGAAGAATTGAGGGCGCTTATGACATTTATACTTTGATATGTTTATGAAACAGATACTTCAGTCATAAAAGTTAGAACTACTTTTCTGGTTGTGGAAAAAAAATAGTAATGCCTAACAACCCCCCTAAAAGTGGTGAGTGGTGGCTGTTTGTCTGCTTTGTGAGCAGTGCATGGCCTGAAAATGTTTCACGCTAGGGTCAGGTTTTGCCAAAGAGATCAATATTCATTTTCATAGACGGATATTGTTCTTTCTTCCTTTTCTGTTTTTTAAGTTCAGCTTTATTGAGGTAGAATTGACCAATAAAATTGTAAGATAGTTAAAGGGTACATTGTCATGATTTGATATATTTATATATTGTGAAAAGATTCTTCCCGTTAATTATAATATACATCCATCACCACACAAATTTACCTTTTTTTTGCAAGGACATGTAAGTTCTACTTTTTAGCAAATTTCTATTATTCGACACAGTGTTACCAACTGTATAGTCTCCATGTTTTACCCTAGATTCTCAGACCTTATAGCTGAAAGCTTATACCCTTTTACCAACCTTTCCCTATTCCACCACCCCCACCACCCCGGCAACCACTTTTCTACTCTGTTTGTATGAATTTGACTTTTGGGAGTATTTTTCCATTGCTAATATTGTTCCCATCACTCCATTATCACTGTGACATGTTCCAGGTTGGTGGAAAAGTGTCGATTCCAACTCCAGTGTAGTTATTTGGAATTTCATTTGTTTTAGCATTACTACTGTGTGATAAAATTGGCTTGTTAAATTGACAGTGATTCTCCCGAGTGATGGTCCTCAGGCATCACTCAACGTTCCCAACCTTCTTCCCAGTGTGATGAATGTCTAAGACGTCTCTGAGGAAGCTGAGAAAGATTAGCAAAGGTCAGCAACATGGATGGATGTTCTCATGGCTTGAGTGGTAAATCATGTGTAAAAAATAGCATTTCCCAGATTCCAGCTGCAGCACCAGAGTCTCCAGTTCTACTTCTTCTGCAAAATGTCGTAACACTGGTTAGTTTTGTTGACTTGTAGACTGGTCTTTGGAATACCAACTGTGTCCAGGCACTTTACTTAGTATCTCTTAGTAAATGAGCTGCTTGGTGATTAACTTCTGAAAACAGGTTGATAAACTCACATTTTAAGGTATTTTTCTTAATGTAGTTCAGTTGGGGTGGGGAGTGGGGGTCAGCTCCTGGCAATCAGGATGAAAAAATAGTAGATAATCACTTAAAAAAAAATGATGAGGAGGGGGGTAGATCAAAAAACCCTAGACTTATTATCAAGTATAAAATTCTCTTTTTTCTTGAGAATTGCCATCCACTAACAAACCCTGTTCAGAATACAGTAAAAAGAAGGTTCACTTAAGAAATGATGTGTACCTTACACCCAATAGGATGGCTGCTCTGCTATCCAAAAAAACCCCCCCAAAAAACCCCAAAATAACAAGCATTGGTGAGAATGTAGAGACATTAGAACCCTTGTGCACTGCTTGTGGGAATGCAAAATGGTGCCGTGGCTATGGAAAATAATGTGGTGGTTCCTCAAAAAATTAAAAATAGAACTACTGTATGATCCAGCAATTCCACTTTTGGATACATAGCCCAAAGAATTGAAAGCAGAGTCTTGAAGAGATATTGGCACACCTGTGTTCATAGTAACAGTATTCACAACAGCCAAAGGGGGAAGCAACACAAGTGTCCATCGATGGATGAGTGGGTAAACACAGTGTGGTACATACATAGACATAATGGAATATTTTTCAGGCTTAAAATAAAGGAAATTCTGACACCTGCTACAACATGGGTCAACTTTGAGAGGACATTATGCTGAGTGAAATAAGCCAGTCACGAAAGGAAAAATACGGGATACTTCCACTTATGTGAAGTATAGTCAAGTTCATAGAGACAGGAAGTAGAATGGTGGGTGCCAGGGGAAAAGGGATGGGGAGTTAGTGTGTAATGGGGACAGAGTTTCAGTTTTAGAAGATGAAAAATTTCTGGAGACAAATGGTGGTGATGGTTGCACAACAATGTAAGTGTACACTTAACATAAAAATTACAATTTTAACCATAATTAAGTGTATTTTACCATAATTTATAAAAAGAGATCATGTGATGTGTGTACGTGAGCTTCTAATACTTCCTGTAATCACTCTTTAAAAAGTGGTAAATGCTGCTCTGGGGTCATGGGGCTGTGTCCAGTGGGCAGCCCCCTGAGAAATAGACACTTGGGAACAGGAACCCCACAGTGTGGGGCATGCTCGCTGGGCCCCAGGGCTGGCGGAGGGGCCAGGAGGGCCAGGGAGAGGCAGGCAGCAAAGGAGAAAAAGCCAATGACCCCCCCTCACCCCCCCAACCCCCACCAATCATTCTGGTATTTAAGTATCTTTTTCCACTAGCTAGTTCTCTGGAATAAACATCAACAAATACTAGAAGTTTATGTTTTGAAAATAACTTGCCTGCACCTCCTTGTCTTTAAAATGGACTCCAGTAAGTACCGTGGACACATGAACATCCCTCCCGGCTGAAAAATTGACATAATTAGTATTTGCTAGGTTGGGAGCTGGGAGGTCCCCAAGAACCACTGGGAGACCTTCCTAAATGGGATTCAGAACTGTAGCATCTCGATTCTATGGCTCTACCTGTGAGCATTAGTCCTATTATTATTTTAAGTTTTCTCTCCTTTTAAATGGCACTGTCATAATCTACTGCAAATGTACTTTTAAATCCCTGTGAAAGCTTCATTCAAGTCCAGTGAGTCTTGAGACTTGGCATTACGTGGATATAGGAAGAGCAAGAAGGTCTGACATTCATCCTGCATGGACCAGGCATTGGGCATTTTCTGTGCATTGTCACAGTTCATCCTCACAGAAGCCCCAACCCCATTTACAAGCACAGAAATGGAGGTCAGAGAGGTTAAACAACTTCTCCTAAGGTCACCCACCTTATTGGTGCTGAGACTGGCCTTCAAACCCTGGCCTTCTTTGACTGGAGAGGAACATTCACAGAAATGAGTCACATTGGTGGCCATAAAGGGAACCTTCACAAAAGTCAAAGGCGAAGAGGCTTTATAGGCCACAGGCTTTGACTATTATCCAATAAAATTGGAAAATAAATCCTAGAAAGACTTTCTCCAAAGTACTCCGTGGAGCAAAGGTCACCAGGGTCTTAGTGACATGACCTTGTACCCTCCATTTGGCCAGGTTTGGCAGGGGCAGTCTGCTCCCAGTGGCAGGGGTACAGAGGGGCCTGATCACCACACACCGGGGAGCGGGGGGCCAGCGAGAGGATCTGAGCTCAGCAACCCTGTGTTTTAGATTGGGAAACTCAGCTAGTCCAGCTTTCCTGTACCCCCTCCCTCCCCCTCAATGAAGTATTAAAAACGAGCAAGGCCCTGCCCAGATCATACCTGGATGATTGGGAGCTGCCGCTGTTTCTACCTTGTGGTGTCACTTCCCAGTTTATCAAAATGAAATTGAAATTCAGTTATTGTTTATCAGCATCTACCTTCCCTTGGGATTTCTTTTTTTTAACTATGCTGCAAAATTCAGCTACCAAGGAAAACTACCTGATAGTGGAGGGTGATAGATAAAGCCCGGGCTTTGTGAGAAGACAGCTCTAGTGGGTTTGGATCCCAGCACAGGCCCTTGGACGAATTATTTAATATCCCTTTGCCTCAGTTTCATCATTCATTAAATATAGCTGGAGGTAATTTCTCTTTCAGAGGTCTGCTATAAACATTTGATTAGCTAACACGTATAAAACAGGATGGTACAGGTACAAGGTGAATTGTAGTTGCTCATGCCTTAGCCTCGCGCCCCTCAACCACTCAAATGGCAGCTTGTCCGGGCACCTCTCCCTCTCTGTGGAAAAACTGTGTGTTGAGCCCAGCACTATTGTTTATTTTCTCTTTCGCATGTAGTACTTTTGTGCCTTAGGGAAGTGGTAAGTCTTTGAGTCTTGTCACAGCTTAATTAACTTCCTGAGAGTTGGAACTGCCCCTAGATTCCATATTGTGTCCTATTTCAAGTTGAAGTGTATTAGCTGTAATTAGTGACACTGCTTGTGAAAAGCCACCAACTGGCCTTTCTGTTCCCCCACAGGAGACCACAGGTTCCTGCCAACTCCTGTCCAGTTAGTTGGCATCTGGCAACTTTTATCAACAACTCAACTTGAAACTTTAATAAAGAATGTATAAGGTATTTTAGTGGCTTTTGGCACCCCTTTTTTGAGTAGGTCTACTTAATGTAAATATGCTATTTTTAAATATTTGCAAATACTTTAAAGGGAGGAAAACATAGGCGTGAGTATTCCTGTTTAGGACTGGCCTTAGCTTTACTCACTGCAGTCGTTTCCTGTTGTTCCTGTCGCACCTCACCACAAACAGGGTCTCCGAAGAGGCGCTCCTTGTGCCTAGGGCTTGAATCACAGGAGGGCAGATGCCGGGTCTGTCTCACACACCAAGAAACCCTGGGGCGATGGAAGCCTGTCTGCAGCTGCATCCTAAGGGTTAGTAAATCCTGCCTGAATGAAGGAATGGGCAGTGGGACATAGCCCCACCTTCCATTTATAGTGTGCTGTGGTGTACAGACGGCTTTAATTCTGACTGTGGTTCCCTTGCTTGCGTCCTTTCTGTGCTGGGCCGTGTCCTCAGGATTTGCTTCACAAGCCCCTAAGTGAGGTGCTATTACCACCCCATGTTACAGACAAAGCAGCTGGGCTTAGGTGTCATAGCAGGACCCCAGCCCGTGTCTGTGTGATACTAAACCCCACCCCTCTGAAACACTACATTCTTAGGCTGCTCCTAAGCATCCTGTGGGGCCAGGCAAGGATTGTTACCCCATTTTACAGATAGTGCTGAAATCCAGTGTGGACTTCCAGATGCTCGGCTGAGGTGCGAATGCCAGATTCTTGGCTCGTGTCTTCTGTTTGCCATTATGACCAAGTGGTTCAGCTTGGTCCCCGAGACATCACTGGAAATACTCTGACCATTTTTGGATGTTGTAGCAACACTGGCTGTTATGAGGAGTATATAACCCAGCAAGATGCAGTGAGCAAAGATCATTTTAAGAAAGAAAATAGGGTCCTAGAATAGGATTGATATTATTTTAGGAGTTGGTGAAAACTGTTGAGCCAAGGAAATTTTTGTAGCTTTTCCAGTCTGTTTGGGGTTTTGTTTTGTTTTCTTTTCTTTTACTCTTCTCCCACCTAAGGCATGAAAAAGCAGCTTAGCTTGTTAGGTTCAGTATAACTTGGGCTTCTTGCTAAGCTCTGTTCTAGAGCAGTTACATGACATAAGATATGCTCTAGCTATGTAATATCGAATTTGTGGGTCTTCTTTCTTTTGGCTAGGCCTAGGTGATAACTTAGCCATAGGTAAAAAGGCAAAAATTCATTTTCTTGAACTGTCTAAAGCTACAATGACAAACATGCATCATTCTTTGGCCTGACCTGTATGATTCTATCTTACACCAAATCAAAATACCATCTCTGCCTTAAAATGTCATACTCAGTTAGTTTGAATGGACTTTTTTGGACTTCCTTCTGTTAAGACTTTTCATATTAGAAATTGAAGTCAGTTTGTATGTCTAATTTTATCTTAGAATAATCTTGGTTCCTCTGTAGTCTCTTCCTGTTCCAGTCCATCCTACACAGAATCCATCCGTAACAGAATTACTCTTAACTGAAAATAACAGGTGCTCCTGTGGGCTCTTAAGAAACAGCTTCCCAAAGTCTCAGGAGTGGAACCTGAACTGTTGCCCAATAGGCAGTTATTTCCAGAATGGGCCTCCAGCCAGCCTTTCCAACCCCTGTTGGCAAAGAGAAGAAAGATCAAACGTGGGCAGGAATACAGGGTGATGGTGTATGGCGTACTTTACTTCACATTGAAATGGCTTTAAAAAAGAAAACATCCAGAAATGCATATCCTGTTTACTTTTTATTTTAAATTACTCTCTGGAGTCATTTATTCTTTTTTTTTTTAATTAAAGTTTATTGGGGTGACAATAGGTAGTAAAATTACATAGGTTTCAAGTGTACAATTCTGTAATACATCATCTATATATCACATTGTGGTTTACCACCCAGAGTCAGTTCTTCCATCACCATATATTTGATCCCATTTACCCTCATCTACCACTCCCCCCTTCCTCTCTGGTAACCACTAAACTATTGTCTATGTCTATGAGTTTTTGTTTCTTTATTTGTCTTGTTCCTTTGTTGCTTTCAGTTTTATATCCCACATATCAGTGAAATTATATGGTTCTTGACTTTTTCTGTCTAACTTATTTCACTTAACATAATCATCCATCCATGTTGTCGCAAATGGCGCTATTTCACTTTTTCTTATGGCAGAATAGTATTCCACTGTGTACATATGCCACAACTTCTTTATCCAATCATCTTTTGAAGGACACTTTGGTTGTTTCCATGTCTTGGCCACCATAAATAAAGCCGCTAGGAACATTAGAGCCCATATATCTTTAGGGATTAATGTTTTCAGATTGTTGGGGTATATACCCAGGAGAGGGATTGCTGGGTCATATGGTAATTCTATTCTTAATTTCTTGAGGAACCTTCATACTGCCTTCCATAGCAGCTGCACCAATTTGCATTCCCACCAGCAGTGTATGAGGGTTCCTTTTTCTCCACAGCCTCTCCAACACTTGTTATTACTTGTCTTGTTGATGACAGCCATTCTGACTGGTGTGAGGTGATATCTGTCTCATTGTGGTTTTGATTTGCATTTCTCTGATAATTAGTGATGTTGAGCATCTTTTTCATATGTCTACTGGCCATCTCTATGTCCTCTTTGGAGAAATGTCTATTCAGGTCCCCTGCCCATTTTTTAATTGGATTGTTTGTTTTTTTTGTTGTTGTTGAGTTGTATGAGTTCCTTATACATTTTGGATATTAGCCGCATATCAGAGGCATTGTTTGCAAAAATCTTCTCCCATTCAGTTGGTTGCCTCTTTATTTTGTCAATGATTTTTAGTTTGATATAGTCCCATTCATTTATTTTAACTTTTACTTCCCTTGCCTTTGAGGTCAAATTCATAAAATGCTCTTTGAACCCAAGGTCCGTAAGTTTACTAACTATGTTTTCGTCTATGCAGTTTCAGGTCTTATGTTTAGGTCTTTGATCCATTTTGAATTAGTTTTGGTACACCGTGACAGATAGCAGTCTAGTTTCATTCTTTTGCACGTGGCTTTCCATTTCTCCCACCACTATTTATTGAAGAAGCTGTCTTTTCTCCATTGTATGTTTTGACTCCTTTGTCAAAAATTATCTGTCCATATTTATGTGGGTTTATTTCTGGGTTTTCAATTCTATTCCATTGGTCTCTGTCTGTTTTTCTGCCAATACCATATTGTTTTGATGGTCATTCTTAATTCTTCTGCTTAGTAATGTGTTCCTACCCCCTGATTCTTGCTTATACCTTTTTGGCCTGGAGTACCCATCTCCAACTGTCTCCCCTGTAAGTCCTACCCATCTTTCAAGAGTGAAATCAAGTTTCCTTTTCCTGTTCCCATTCTCCAAGTCCCAGTTATCTATCCTTTCTCTCAGCTTCCTGCCATTTACCTGGTGGTTGTTCAGCGTCACCTCTTTTCGTCACTCCTGGATTTGCTCCCTTTTCATGTGAATACTCTTCTTGCCCACTCATTTGTCCCTGAGGGCGATGGCCCTGCTATTTTATAGCAGGAGCCATGAGGGCAGCTGTCCATGGCTACAACTCTGCTCCTGAAACAAGCTGACAGTGTCCCTGGTTGACTAAGGATGGTGTGCTTCCAAGTCAGCTTCCTGCACAAGGAGCTCTGCTGATGAAGGTTTCGGGGAAATGCAGGATCAGGTATTAGTTGAGTTTCAGTAGCGGAAGTGTTCAGGAATTGGTTGACCTTTAACTGTGGATGTGTGATTACTTCAATGAGGCTGCTGTTAATTGGCTGACATTCAGAAGCACTGGAGTGAGACAGTTGCTGATGGGTGGACTTTATTGGGGTGAGATGGTTGTTGACTGCCTAGCCCTCTGAAGTACTGGGGTGAAGCACTTGTGGATTGGCAGACTTCACTGAAGTGAGGTGGTGGTTGATTGGCTGACCCCCTGAAGCTTTTATATTGATGGGGAGCTGTCATAAAGCAATTAGAATAGATTAAAAACCCATTGCTATGGCCAAGGAACAAGTCCTTTCCAAGAGGCATAGGAATTGTTTTTATTTTCACCTATCTGAGAATCATAGATTTCCTGGGCTGAAATAAGTCTATTAAAATACAGACCACACATTAGACCCTCACCCAACCTCCACCCCCAGATGTGAGCACATGAGCAGATTTGGGAGACGATACACCTGGCCTCCAATCCTAACTCTGTCATTTAACAAGTCATTTAATCTTTGTGATCCTCAGTGTCCTAAAGGATAACACCTCCCAGAGAGGTGAGTGTTCTGTTGATTAAATGAGTTGATGTGTGCCAAGTCCTTAACATACCTTCAACATTTACTTTCCTAAACTGAACATTGGCATTTTCACTACAGTCCACAGGTATAATGACTCGGGAATACAGCCTGAAGAGGCATTTGATGACCCAGTTCCCTCTTCTGGTTAGAAGGTTTTTCCTTCTAAGGCCCGGCAGAATCAGGAGCTGTAAAAAAACTGATGCTCAGGCCTCACTTCTAGAGATTCTGCCATAATTGATCTGTGGGAGAGCCCAGACACTGGTATTTTTTAAGGTCCCACATGATGTTCAGTGTATATTGACACATACCATGCCCAGCCGTCTCCTTACCTAACTGCTGTTCCTGCAGTTAAATCGTGTGGCAAATTAGTAAGTTGCTTTGATTGGTCTTAAGTGATAGGCTGTTCTTGTTAAGAACTCTTTTGAAAATTGTGTAATTAAGAAACAAACCTGGGATTCAAATGGGATATTCTCTGAGTCCCATTCCCAACACTGCCCTCATTATTAAAGCAAAAACAAAAAGAAAATCTTACTTGATAGGAAGGTCGGTCAGGATAAAGAGATACATGGTATGGACTTGAGATTTTCTGAAAGTCAATGACAAAATTGTCTACCATTAGGAAATTTGTGTAAATTCTATCCTGTTGGTTGTTGTATACATTATACATAAGGAAATTAAACATTTCCTCCTTCCCAAAAGGTTTGTTATCTCTAAATTTTGAAGTTAATTCATGAAAAAGAAGAACATGCATTATTTATAAATTTTTTTAGCATCTAGTAGAAAATGTCATGTTTTTTAAAAATAATATTTACACCTCCATGGAGTCAATGTGCATAGGTCACCTCTGTAATCCTGAAGTCATCCCTATAAAATAGTGAGACCCCTCTTTGTCAGAGAAGAAGGGAGTTTTAGTCAGTAGTCTTTCTTTATTCTTTTCTTCTTGGTTTGGAGGAAACTTCTAGTCAGTGGAAGGACTGAATATTGAGTGTTTCTGCTGAAAAGAGACTGGCCCATATTCTACCTAAGAAGTATGGAACTGCTGAAATAGTTGATAATTATATTTATTTTAGTTATTCAAATATACCTTTGCCATTTATTACTTCCAGAATTGACTTTGCTAGATATATAATATGCTATATTTGTTGATATTATTAAAGTTTTTATTTTGGAATAATTGTGTATTATGGTTCACTTGGTGTTCTGCATTTATGGGTCTTGACAAATGTACAATGGCATGTATCCAGGATGAAAGCATCATACAGAGCAGTGTCACTGCCCTAAGGATCCTGTGTGCTCTGCCTAGTCAGCCCTCCCTCCCCTTCCCCCCTCCCCCCTGGAAACCACAGTCTTTTCACTGTCTCCACAGTGTTGCCTTTTCCAGAATGTCGTATAGTTGGAATTGTTCAAGAAAAACTTTGTCATGGCACTTGTTAAAGAATGGTGAGGCAGACTACTCAGGGGATGGCTACATGGGAGTTTGGCAGCAGGGGAGAAGACTGGGCTCAACTCTGAATACGCGAAGGAAGAGTGGGTATTTATAGCCAAGGAAAAGGATGGGGGTAAGTGAATGGAAAATTGCTAAGAGGAAGCATCAGAGGTAAACGTGGGTGTTCTTGCTAAACTGACCTAAGAGGATAAGAGGATTCTTCCCAAAGGCAGGCCAACATGATCAGGCGTCACCGGGCTGAGGGCAGGATTCTGGCCAAACCAACTTAGCAGGATTCCTGTTGAACTTGAGCAATGTAAAGACGGACATGGAAGTACAAAAATCAAGGCCTAGTTTGGGAAGAGGATTCATAGGAGCCTGACTCAAGTTTGGTCAAAGAGAGTGACTTTGTGGGAATCAGACCATGTGTAGCCTTTTTAGATTGGCTTCTTTCACATAGTCATATGCATTTAAGGTTCCTCCATGCCTTTTCATGGCTTCATAGCTCATGTCTTTGTATCGCTGAGTAATACTCCATTATCTGAATATATCGCAGTTTGCTTATCCATTCACCTACTGAAGGCCATCTTGATTGCTTCCAAATTTTGGCAATTATGAATGAAACTGCTGTAAACATCCGTGTGCAGATTTCAAGAATAACTTTATATTTATAGGAAAGTCAAAAAGGTTGGTACAGAGCATTTCTGTGTACCCTTCACTCAGGCTCCCCCAGTGTTAACATCTTACATAGCCGTGGCATGTTTGTCAGAACTACGAGATTGACATCAGTCCGTTACCATTAACTAGATTTTATTTAGATTTCACCAGTGTTTCCGCTCATTTTCTTTTTCTGTTTCAGGATCCAATCCAGGATACCACATTGCATTTATTTTCATTTTAATTTATAGGAAGAGTTTGGAGGTGTTGTGTTCATTAAATATGTTCATAAAATTCTGCATATTCTGAGAAAACGGGTGTAAACATCAGCTATAAGGAGCTGGTGTTGCTTCATCAAAGGAACACATTTAGTTATGATAGCGTTATTTAGAATTTTTTGAAAGTTTGTTTTTGTCTTTGGCAGAGCATACAGAATTCCCAGTGCACAAAATTAAGATTTATTTCATAAGGTTGCTGTTTCTAAACAAAATGCTAAAGCTTACTGAAAAGAAGGTCATGTTAAGGTTGAGTATTTCAAGACCCAGGAGAAAACCGGTTGCCAAGTTGTAATAAAAGCTGTCAGTTGCATAATTTTTCAAGTTGATGCAAACGGTGAAGTGTTTGGTTGGTTCTCTAATGAGCATCTCCAAATGTTTTGCTGGCAGAAGGACTCCATGAAAGATGACAGAAGAAGTTATTGTTATAGCAAAGTGGGACTACATTGCCCAACAGGACCAGGAGCTTGACATCAAGAAAAATGAGCGCCTGTGGCTGCTGGATGACTCCAAGACGTGGTGGCGGGTGAGGAATGCAGCCAACAGGACAGGCTACGTGCCGTCCAACTACGTGGAGAGGAAGAACAGCCTGAAGAAGGGCTCCCTGGTGAAGAACCTGAAGGACACACTAGGTGAGTGTTCACGGCATGGGGACCCAGGTTAGAGCTGAACTCCTTCCGTTATGGAGAGCGAAGAAGCCTGGTGCTTTTTGAGGAGAGAGTGTTCATCTTTTTAGTTTGTGTTAAAAAAAAAAAAAAAGTCTGCTTTAAATGTTGACGTCTTCCTAGTTGTGTTTTTCCTTTATCTCTGAAAATTAATAGAGTAAGATGGATAAATATCACGTTTGTCATTTCGTGGAGATTTTAGCGTTTGGTGTTTTATGTAAGATGGCGTTTCTATAATTTTGGACCCTTGCATGTGTTTCTGTCTCCTGGCATCAACATTCTAGAGGATCCCGAAATGGAATTACCACCTCTAAAAATGTCAACAGCTCTGCCTAGGTCATTCCATCAAATCATTTCTCTCTTACAAATCCTGTCCACTGGGTTTTTATTGCACAGAGAAGGGGATAGCGGGAAGGCCTTTGAACTCCAGGTGAATTTCATACCACAGGCCTGGACAGTGTTAGCTCAATTGGCAACTGGGCAAGCACCAGTGTGATGTCAGAGGCTGTCCAGGGTCACGCCAGTGGGGACTGCGCGTAGCTCAGCTAAGCTGGCACGTCATCCAGCTTTCTTTCCAGATGCCTCTTTCTCTTCCCTGGTATCCGGACATGGAAAAGGCCACCTCGAATCACCTGAAGTTAATGGTGGCCAGTCTTGCCTTTGTATTTTGTATGCATATCAGACTTACTTGCAGTAGTTACTGCTTCAGATTATGTGAGAAAATAACTGTGAAGACCTTTCTGAAGAATGGCTGAACAGAGCTACCATTTAAAAAAGTTATCGTTGCCTCCTTATGTGAGTTGGATCTGAGACTGCTGGTTATCACTTAAGAGTTTGCTGTTGAAATAGATCAATATTGTCACTCGTGGTTACATTTACTTGAGTTTTTCCTTTTTATCTCTAACAAGGGGATTATGTTTTCATTTAGAGAGGAGGGTAACAGGTGGGAAAACTGAAAAGAAAATTATTCACTGAATATAGCGGGTGTTACAAAATATATGTCTTTCATTTTATGCAATCTTGAAAAGTCTACTAACTCTCTCTTCAAAACCATTTAAAACTTTCTTTTGTTGGGTAGTGTTTTTGTCTTAGGGCTTAGATTGTGCCCATGATTTGGTAAGAGAAATGAGACAGGCCTGCATATGAATCATGCAAGCTCACCATCTATCAAAGATTCTGAGCCTGATGTAGAAATTCCATTTTTCATAAGCAATCTGATTCTTTTACTAAACTGACACCACTTTATCTTTTTTCTAAGCAAGTCACTGAAAGAAACATCCTTGTCCTATGTTTATAACTCTTAAATAACTGTTGTAAAAGAAATGGGATAGCATCGAAAGATCAATACTTTTAAGAGTGTGCTGAGCCTAATTTTATTTATTTTGTCCAATTTCAGCCTCTCACCCACCAAAGTACCCTTTCTTGGAAATGCTAAATATTGTTGACTAGTTTTGTCTTCTTTCTTATTCATTTTTTAAAATACAGCCTCAAGATCCTGGTAAAGAATGAAATAACCCAGAGATCGAATGAATTGCTGAGCAGTAAAATAAGGCAAAGCAAGTCCTCTGAATTATCTAGAAATCCCCTTCAAGAGCTTGTCATTTTTTTCCTTCAGTTTTTAAAAGGAGAGAAGACACAGCCTCAAATTGAAACTATTAGCCACATCTTCGCCTAGTGTTTCGTTTTTTCACGAGCTGTGATCAGAGCTGTGATCTGGTCAGCGTACTCTGTACTGCGGGTCCTCAGAAGCTGAGTATGCTTGCTGTTGCAGCCTGTGCTCATGCTGGGTGCTGAGCCCGCTGCCCCGCCCCTGACAGATGGCCGCCCGGCTCTGCTGGAACACGTCTACTTCTCAGTCAGCCAGTTCCATTTTTGGAGAACACAGATTGTTAGAAAGCTCTTCCTTAAATAGAATCAAAGTTTGCTTTTCTTTACTTTCCCCCCTTGGCTGTCATTTGCCCTCAAGAGCTGTACTGAGTGAAGTGTGCTCTTGTATAGAGTGACGGCTCTCCTCCAGGCTTGTCTCCATTCAGGCACACATTGCCTTGGAAACGATTGTACTGAGCATTTCAGATTGTAAAAATATAAGTAAAATTGTGTTGTGAACATCCATATCTATTAGCAGCAGTTGATATTCATAGTCTAAAGGCTCTTGGGGTCAGTATTTCTATCACCAGAGAGAAATGTCCCCCTTCGTGGTAGGTCTTTTTGTTTTGATGTGTCTGTCCTGCTCCCCCCAAAGCCCTGCTTTTGTTGGACAAAGAGAGACCTTGTTACTTCTGCATGAGTTTTCCATTGTCCTCTTGAGCAGTATCAAAGAGAAGGGAAGCACCCCTGACAAGAATCCCCACGGTGGAGAGACTTATGTCTCCACAGCCAGACCTCGTTGTCAAGAAGGAAGGTGAGAAAACATCCTGTAGCCTCGCCTGTCCCCCAGGGGTCTCTGTTGCTAAAAAGATTGGAGCTAAAGTGTTCCTGGCTTCCTTTTTACATTATTGTCACCAGTGCACTGTCAGAATTACAGTATGGTTGTAGATTATTTATGCAGCCAGTAGAAATGATCTCTACCACATATTAGGATTGAAAACTACACTGCGTATGCTGACCTTCTAATAGCTACTCATGGTATCATCCACATTTGTAATTTGCACTGCTATGGAAATCCACCCAATTCCTAAATCCAATGTAAGATTTCCCTGGTAGCCACCTGGTTTGGAACACAACAGCACTGGTCTCCCCAGCAAAGTCACAGTGCTAGAAACGTGTGTTTACATCTCTAATTGCAGATAACTGTAACTCTATAGTGTTCTCTCCTACTTTTTTACACTCGTTTGCTGTGTTGAGTTTGGTAGGGAATTTAATCATATATAATACTTGGTTAAAGTGATTTCTAGAAAGCAGTACCTTTGACGAAAAGATCTGTTAGCAAAAGATTAACATTCTTTCCTTTAATGATTCATAATTGAATACAACAATATGAGCTCTTATTTGCACATGGGCAAAACATTTATATACTGGATCTCCTGTCATATTCAGCTTATGATCAAGAATAGTCAAAGAGAACTTTTCCACAGATAACAAGGAGCAATTGTTAAGAACGACTTCGGCTGGCAGAGCCCAGCTGATATTCTGAAGGACTCAGACTGCACAGCTCTCCACTCATCGGCCAGGAGCGCTGAGGCTACCGTCTGGCTTGGACATTGCAGCCTGATTTATAAGATCATGAGGGTTAGGTGTTTCGAAGTGCTGTGCTAAATCTTTCAGATGGGGAAATTGCTCCCAGGAAGGTATAGTTTTCAAAGATTTTCCTTCAAGCTACTGAAGAACAGTTTGTTACCACGTAATGATAGCAGCTGGAACCCACTAAAGCCCCAAAGGTTAACTCTTCTCAGTGGCTAAGTCCCGGTGCTGACCTGGGTTACACAAAACAATACAGTTCCATTTATAACCTATTAGTAACCTCCCTGGGTGAGTCCATTTCGAGGCGCATGTGTCCATTGCTAACCACTTCCCTAGGCGTCGGGAGCCAGAAGTGACCTGCCCCCCCCCAGCTTTGCTACTTGAGCATTTGTCCCAATGTGACCAGACCTAAGGCCAGTTAGAAACCTGCCCGTGATTAGCATTGGCAGTGGTTAGGACCCCCAGCTCTGTGATTCCAAGTCAGACCTGGGAGTAGAGAGGGGCTACTAAAAGGGACTCCTCAATGCTGACTACCTGTAAAGTAGCCTTGCACTGGTTTGCGCCAGTGCTTTTGGACAAGGAGGGGGTGGTTCTTATGGGTGAAATTCACAAGGTTCTTAGAGGTCTATCTATTACCAGCATTGATTTGGGAGTGGCTAAGTGACTTCCCCAAGAAGACACTACTAGTCATAAGTACAGGACAGAGATGGGACCTCAACTCAAACTTGAGGTTTTCTTTCTATACCAGGTTGAGTGTCAGGATTTAGTGGGTGGGAATTTAGTAAGACTGTCACAGAGACAGGCACTTAGGATGTTAGAGGAAATTTTAGTGAGACCCAGTTCTTTATTTTAGAGATGAAAAACTTATTAGCAAAACTTGAGTGGGGTCTGAGCATTAGACGATGATAATGTGTCAGTGTTAATTTCCTGATTTTGGTGGTTGAATCATGGTTGTATTGTAGAGGTGAACATCCTTGTTTGTAAAACTGCATATAAAATATTGAGGTGACAGGATATCAGGTTGGTAGCTTACTTTCAAATGGATCAGGGAAAATAACATTCTTGTGCTGTTCTTATAACGTTTCTGTACATTAAAACAAACAGACAGACATCAGAGTGGTTTGGAGGCCACCCCACGCTACAAAGCTGGCTCATAGCAGAAGAGATGTAAGTTGGACTTCCCAGCTCTATCTGGATATTTACAGTGTTACAGTGCCTTAAACTTGGCTTAAGCCTTTCAGAGATCAGAGAGTATCACTGAGTACCTGCTGAGATTGGACCTAAAACATGAGAATAACAGCGGGTACAAATGTGTCCAACTCATTCGTCATCCGAATGGCTTCCCCCAGCACTGAACTCAGAACTTTCTATAATTATCCAGCAGGTTCTCTCCTTATCACTAGTGTGCACGTGAGGAAGTCCCTGCTTCTTGCTGGAGCAGCCCAGACTATTATGAGCCAGGTCAATATATGCTTTTTTGTTTAATGGAGACAGAGAGAGTGGTGGTCAGAAATGATCTCCTGGGCACACAGCCTCCGTGGTTATGCAGGCTGTCAGGGAATTTTCCATTTAGACGCTGCAGGCTTGGGGATCTTAGTTGTGACTATAAATGTCCTCAGCAGGTCTGAACCACGGCATGTGGTTCGTTGTGAATGAAATGTGGGGAACGAACGCCGCCGCCTGTGACAGTGGGAGCCAGGTCCAGCTGTGAGTTGTCCCTTCCTTGCTCTGTCCCTTAGAAATCCCCTCTAAGCCACGTCATTCCCTGCTGAGTGACCTTTGAAAGC